TCGAGGCACTCGTCGGTCTTGCGAATGGCGGCGGCGATGCGCGGGTCCAGCGTTGCCACGAGGCGGCGCACTTCGTCCATGTCGCCAGGCTGCGACCACGACTCCTGGATGTCGGCCGTGTCCTTGTGCGTGATGATCCAGTTGAACTCGTCGCCACCGCGCAGCGTATTCTGTACCACGTGCATGTCCTTGCCGATCCAGATGTTGACGCACTCGTTTTCCACGAACTCGGCCGTCAATGGGTCGCCCTTCAGCTTGTCGCCCTTGAAGAATGCCCGGAAGCACGCGTACCCAGACGACTTGGGCTTGTCGTCGAACCCGAGCACCAGTTCGCGCGCCCGAGACTTGATTCCTGCAAGGCATTAACTCATGAACGAAACAATGAAATGCAATACATGGGGGGGATTAGGAGCGCTTTCTCCTTCAGCCTTACCGTCGACTGCGATGATGACGTCTGCGAAATGCCGCTCTCCGTTCTTCAGCGTTACCGACGGGGTGAGGTCGTCGTATTCTACCACCTGAAACACTCAGACACGTCAAGAAACCTTCTCGCGACAAATAGGGGACGGCCCGTGGAAAAATTGACTCACCTCACTGCCCATGTGCAAAGGGATGCCCTTTTCCGCCACGGCCTCCAAGAACCCTCGATGGTAGTCTCCCCGGTGGCCGATGTAGCCGGCCATGTCCATCAGCGGCTGCTGGGCGAGCAGCTTGCCATCGTGCCAGCGGCGGATCTGCATGAATTCCGACTTGTTCCCGATCTCGATCAGATGGTCGCGCAGGAACGGCGACCATCGGTCGAGCAACTTGAACGCATTCTCACCCAGGCCCAGGGAGTCTCCGAGCCGCTGGAACTCTCGGACCTTCTCGAACATGACCACTTCAAAGCCCGCGTGGTGCATGGCCAGAGCGGTCGCGCATCCTCCCAGCCCTGCCCCGACGATGATGACTGTTATTTACGGGGCGGCCGTGTTAGCTAGAGGTTGTGGATTCTCAATGAAACGGGAAGTTGCGGGATTTGCTTTTTGGGACTCTCTTCGCCATATACAAACAAATACGTACGTACCTTTCAAAGGAGGCTCCACCCCCAAGGAGCCCATGACTGCGAGTCCTCACTTGTGTCTTGTGTTTCCTCGTCTGTTTTACCACGTAGGCGCAAAATGGGGTAACGGGAGGTGAAGGGAAAACTTGTAAGAATGTGGTTCTTGGATCTCACGGACGACGACAAAAGGCACCGGGGAAACATGGTATGATATCAAGCCAACAAGGTAAGCCCGCTATCCAGGGAATAACCCCATTCCCCTTGGGTGCAGCGCCGCAGCGGCGGAGGCGAAAAAGATTTACACAAACCAACCACGCAAGCCCGCCACATGACTGGAGCGCGTCCGATAGCCCATGGCAGGTAGGTAGGCGCGCAAAGCAAACCAAAGGTGGAAGGAAAAGGCTGGGCTCTTGGGATGGAAGACGAAGCCACATGCCGGGGGCTGGCCGCAGAATGCCTAGGAAAGGACTTTCTAGTTAATAGGTTCCAAGGTCGAGAGGGTATGAAAGTCAGTGGTGCGATTGGTGTCACTGCTGATTCCCTTCTGGCTGAGTGCCCCGATTGACGACCTGTTGAATTGTTCATGCCAACAACAAGCGACCGCCGAGGGCCTTTTTCGAGAAGCTCCACTGGACGCCTAGCCAGGCCATGCCGAGATCCTGCTCGTATCCGGGCGATGGAATGTCCCACTTTAGGGGAGTCCGAGGGAGGAGGTCTCAAGGGCAGCCCCGGGATGAACCCACTTGAAGAAGCTCTGCGGAGTTTAACCAACTCTCAACATCCTCTGGCGGTAGATCCCTCAACAAAGTCACCCGCCTAGGCACCTCCTTACAGGCAACCCTACCTAACAAGTAGGTAACGTTTTCGTTGCTGGGCCTTTCCCCCAAGTCTCGTGACGCCTCTTTGTGGGGTTTCGGGCTCTTTTTTGGACGCTCCGTACGACACGTGCGGCGGCAATGGAGGAGGCGGGCCTTGGGTCATTCCCTGCCCCTCATTTTGACACCATGGGGGAGGGAGTGAGCCCAGTGAGCGTGATTGATGCAAGAACAGAGGAAAGGAAAGGGCAATCATCGTCGAGCATCATCCATACTCGTCATTTCCCTATCCGTATCATATCCGAGAGACGGAATTAATTGCGACGGCCATGCGTCGTTGGAGGACAAGGTAAGCCGATGTGACGCATAGCAGACACCTAGGGTCTCAGAACGACTCCTCGGGTTATTCTCCTTTTACTTTTTCCTCTTTCAAACCATTCTCTCCTCGACCCTGGCAAGGCTGCCTGCTTCTCATTGAGATATACCCTAGGCCTAACCGTAGGCCTAAATATCAGAAAAAAAATATGGGATCCATCAACATGCCGGTCAAGACGGTCGGGTACATCGGCCTCGGCAAGGCTGGGGCCTCGATGGCGTCCAACTTGCCGCGCGCGGGCTTTCGTCTGATTGTGCGCGACGCCGACCCTGAGCGAGAGCAGAAGTTCGCTCAGGAGAACCCCAACACATCGGTAGCTGAGAGGGGCGTCGAGGGATTCAAGGACTGTGATGTGGTTGTCACGATGCTGCCTCAGGGTAAGGTGGTTAGGGAGGTGATCTTGGGAGAGGACGGGATTGCGAAGGGACTCAAGCCCGGTATGTTTCTTCTGTACCCTCTCTCTGGTGTTTTGACTTCATTATTGTTGTCGTTGTCGTTGTCGTCGTCGTGGGAAATACGTCTGTTGACCTCCCTAGGAACAATAATTGTGGATACATCGTCGTCGTCACCATTTGACACCCAGAGCCTGGGAAAAGATCTTGACGCGCTCGGGTTTGTCCTTGTCGATTCTCCAGTCACACAGGCACATCTGCACGACACTGACACAGGGGACGCCACGCTGATGGTGGGCGCCAACTCGCAAGAAGCCGTGGACAGAGTGCTCCCGGTCCTCCAGGCGATGGCCAAGTACGTGTTCCACATGGGCAAGCTGGGGTCTGGGCACGTCATGAAGACGCTGAACAACTACATCAGCGCGGCGTCGATCGTGGCGCTCTCGGACGCGCTGGTGACGGGCCAGAAATTCGGCCTGGACCCGGTGCAGATGATCGATGTGCTCAACGTGGGCACGGGGCGCAATTTCTCCACCACCGACAGCTACAAGACTGACGCCCTGCCCCGGCGGTATGCGTCGGGCTTCCAGCTGGCGCTGCTGATCAAAGACGTCGGCATCGCCAAGGAGGTCTTTGAGAATATGCACTTCGACACCGACATGCCCGAGCTGATCATTCGCTACTTCAAGCAGTCCATGGCCATGCTGGAGCCGACGGCCGATCACACGGAGCTATTGAAGGGGTGGGAGAAGCGGGCTGGCGTGGAATTGAAGACGGGCACGCCAGACGGGTCGAGCGTGACGGCGCTGAAGAAGTGACCGAGCTGCTAGCCAGGGATAGAGTACTGTGCTTTGATTTTGGTCCTGATCTCGATATTCTTTCCGACCTGTTCATTCATGTCACATTTCGATTATTCGCAACCGGAGGAGGGAGGGCAGGGGTGACTAACAGGCTATTCCATTGATTGCCGCAACCAAGGCAAGGCACACCCAGGCAGAACGGGGTCCCAAGACCTGCCATGGCTCGTACTCGGACCTCCCTCATAGGAAGACACATATACATTCGGGGTGCGGCACAACCTTTTGGGATCGTCTCCTATCCACGGAGTAGCATTACGGCATTAGAACGGCAGGGCCCAATCACGATCGGCCTTGGCGCCGCTGCTGCCTGAATCGGGGCCTAGCGAGGCCTAACTAGGAATAGTGCGTCATAGGTATTGGTATTGAGCCCCCAGCAAGCAAAAGGGGACTCCGAGTATATACCTACGCATTTACCTCTCGATTCTTGGGATATTTAAAGGGGTGCATTGGAACCGTGGACTCCTGGAACATGAATGTGAGATATGAAACAAACAAACTAAGAACCTAAAGCATTGAATTGAATTGGTTCAATCAGCAAGAATCCCTCGCTCACATAGTACTCCCTCGACCTATCTCTTCCTCCAACGGAAGCGACATATACCCGTCCCGTCAGACACAATATCCCATCCACCTACGAGTCCCCTGGCACTCTACCCAGGGAGGAAGAACAGGATCAAGAAGAAAAGCAACAGAAACAAGAAACCAGAAAGCCATGGCCATCGCACCCGTCTCGCTGTATCCGTGCCTCTTCTTCGAGTCTGAGGCCGAACAAGCCGCGCAGTTCTACACATCCGTCTTCCCCAATTCGTCCATCGACACCATCAACCACTTCAGTGACGCTGGTCATGAGATCCACAAGCAGCCCGTCGGCTCGGTCATGAGTGTGCTTGTAAGAACTATTTCCCTTCCCTTTCCCTCCCCCTTGCACTCCCCCGGCACTATCCCTTCACAAGGCCAGCGCTACTAACGCCGAGCTCCCCAATTGGGGGCAGGGAATGGGCAGTTCACGCTCAACGGCACGAAGTGGCTCGCGCTCAACTCCCGACCCAAGGACATCCCCATGAACGAGGCGGTCAGTTTCCAGATCATCTGCCAGGGTCAGGAGGACGTGGACTACTTCTGGGCCAAGTTAACCGAGGCCGGTGAAGGGTGGGAGATCGACGAGACGAAGCAGGTCTGCGGCTGGCTCAAGGACCGCTTTGGCGTGCATTGGCAGGTCGTGCCCCAGGTGGTTGTGGACAATATGTGTTCGGCCGATGGAGAGAGCATGAAGAAGACCATGCAGGCCGTTATGAAGATGAAGAAGATTGTCGTCAAGGATATCGTCGAGGCTGTCCAGGGCAAGGCTTGAACTCAAGCTTGGTGTAGCCACCACTGATCAAAACGCAAGGACCAAAGTGCATTCTATGCACGAGTAAAGGGAGAAGTCAAAGTCCTGCTTGTTCGCGACTTTCGCAGAGTTGTTATTTACATCCGGGGCACATGATTCCGTTCTCATGGCCATGGATTCAACGATCATTGAAGAACCACGAGTCTCCAGTCCCTCTTGACATTAATCCAAGATTGCTCGTCTACCTCGCCAACCGAAATTCTTGAAGCGGTCTTCCCTTCGACATCTTCCCATTTGATCCACATCACCCTCAGTGTCCCTGTTGCTGATAGCGTCCCCGAATGTTGTCCCATTCCTTGGTCATATTTGCGAGATGTCACAATGAACGACTGGAGCGCGGATTCGTCGTATTCGATGAATGGCCAGGCCCGTCCGTGGTCGCAAGCCGACGTCAACTCCGTGATGTGTCCCACGGTTTGCCCTGAAGGTGAACAGATCTTTAGGCGTACACATCCGAGACGAACTCTTTTCTCGGCTTGGATCAAGAGCGCTGCATGACTTGTCCAGAAGAGCAGCTTTCCGCTGTCTCTGAAAGGCTGGTCTTTGTTGTAACGGTCTACTTCGATCTTGACTTCACCTTTCCAACCGCTGCCAGCCTCATCGGGCAAAGATGCAGATTGGTCAACTGCCTTGTCTCCGGCCACAGGTAGTGTGAGACGCCAGATCTTCCCATCGATGTCTAGACGAAAGAAATCGATCTCTGGCTTCAGAGCTGTGTCCGTTGAGGGCATAACATTTTTGATGGACGCTTTCCAACCAAGCCAGGACCAGCTTGGAAAATGCACGGAATAAGAGCTGCCGGAAGAGCGAAGGGGACACATTGCATCTCTCCGTTTAATCTCCATCGTAGTTTTTCTCCAGCTCAGGGATTGATCGAACGAGGGAGTCAGTAAGTGACCCCAAGAGAACTCGACTCCGGTCACATGGGTGATTCTGCGGAGAAGCCCACTAATAGCGTCCAGGGCATCAGAATCGTGCGAGAATCCCTTCAAGGCATAGAATCGGGGGAGATGTTTGTAGTGGTTCCGGGTGAAATCTCGATAATACTCTGCAGGTACCCGCTCATAGCTTCCTAGGTGGATTCTCGAGATCGTCCATGAATTGGCTCCCTGGCCCGAACTGTCCGGCTCCAGGCATAGTCTTTCGGTCCAATCCGCACAAATGCATGACCAGGATGCTTGACCCTCGGTGAACATCAGTGAGCGCCGGGAAAGCACTCGCTCTTGCAGCGTCCAACCTCGGTGGCTGTATACGGAACTCTCGTACAGGTTTTTGGTGGGAAAGGTGACCAAGGCCAGTGTGGGCGAGATACGGCAAACGTCCTGATCGACTTTGCGTGGGACCGAGAGCCCTGCGATCCCATCGTGTGCACCCGAACCACTGGCTGCAATGACAGTCAGTTCAGCTAGAGAATAGATCGAATCCATCCGTGGTATCTGAAGTGATTTGTCCATGTCGTCATCCTGCAGAATGCAAAGCCTGTCCACCCAGAGATACCTGCCACCAAGTCCAAGAATGAGTTGCATCACATCAAAGATTGTCCGAGGCAGTACCTCCTGAGTGAGGCTGTGAGGTTTCCTCAAATCATCTATACTTGCTGAAGTAGCTCGCAGGTCGTTCTCGGAAGGACCCCAGACGTAGCTGAGAGCGAAGTACGAGGGATGGGCTGGCGAGTCCACAACGCATCTTTCTTGCAGGTCGATGAGTCGAAAATTTGGCGGAATGCTGTCATTTTGGAGCATCCAAGGAGGCTGAGCACAAGCATCCCCGTGGTGGACGTGGCACAGCCGCATCCAGCATTGCAACAGACGGACGTCCACGAGATCTTCGATCAGACGGCCCGATGGAAACGAGGAGTCCGCGTTGCGGTTGGACTCGCTAAACCGGCGAGCTGTTGGGACTGGATATGAAGAAAGCCAGAATTCGGCGATGGGCAACCGGGGATGTGACCAAGACAAATATAACTTGAAGCGGCGAATCAGTTCGTCGTGCCCGTTGCCTGTTTCCCTGCGAAAAACGACCCCCGTGTCGGGTATCACCGCTTTCGAGTCTTGCTCCCGGGGAGCGGACGTTCCTGCAGCGGGTCGATATCTGAGCAGCCACTTGTTTATGAGTGAGCACAGCGAACATGCATCTGGACTGAATCTAATTGATTCAGGAAGAATTGTGTCTCCGGAATCTTGAGGTAGCAAGCGAGTGTCCAGATGCAAGGATCTGCAGCTGTCGCATAATGGAACCTCTTCGCTCGCACCAACGCAGTTCATGGTATTTCCCGAGACTTCTGATTCATCCAGGTGACTGGTTCGGGGAGGATGTCGCTCAAGAGATTATGGAAGCGCCAGTACATATGTACGCTATCACTGAAATTGGAGTAGCTCAGTAACACAGCATACAGCCACGAATCTCAGCCACAAACTGCACCTCACAGACATCGTTCTTCACACTAGTCACGTCTGAATAAAATGTACCGAGACGAAATTGTTGACGGCGGTAACGCTGGTAGTATATCTAGCTGGGTTTGCCGGATACTGAACGTTGGGCCAACCACAGTATAAATATCAATATTGATGAAGGCTTCCACAGTCGTGGTTAAGGATGTCTGTTATGCTTGGATTGTCGAAGCGACATCTTCTCAACCAGTGACTTGGCGCAGCAGTTCGGGATCCCTTGCTGGAATATTATTCGTCTCAGGCTGCACTAACTCGAGTAGGTAGCTCGGTAGCTAGTTGAATGGCGCAAACTCCGGGTACAACTAATGAGCGACCAAGCAAGGTCATCTGCTGCTTTACCGAGTAGTCACTGGGTGCTCGCTGCTCACCGAGCCAAGTCCGTTGGGCGATGATAGTTGATATTAGAAGAGTTAAGTCACTTTGCAACCTCCATGGACGTCCGCTGTCACCTTCTCCAAAATCCTGAGGCTACGTCCATTTTGTCCATATCCAAGGCAAGTATCTTATTCATTGCGAACTTGCTCTATGAATCCGAGCACATTCCACACTGGAGGTACATAGTACTTGGTCAGGCACCCCAGACCGAATCCATGGCTTTGGAGTCCGCGTTTCTCATAACTTCATGCTCCAACCTCCTTATCTCTATCGTTGCCTTACAGGACGTAGAGAGGAGGCAAATGACCCTTGACGAGGACGTCGCCCCTACCTTTCACGAATTCAAGAAGACGCCCGTCCTTAGAGGGTTCGACATGGATTCAGGTGAACCCATTTTCGAGAAGACGAAATAAACACACTTCAGTATGTCACGCCTTGCTCTCCAAAGATCCCCCTGTGAACATACGTTAAAGCAAAGGAAGGGGTCTCCTGATGCATATTTGCGAAACGGGGTACGATGTTGCGGCCCCATTATCAGCACAAAGACGCGTTTATCGCAAAACATACCGTACTCCGTCACGGTCGCTGCCCCCTGCATATTGAACGTCGAAGGCCAAGAGCAGGCTAAGTCTTTGTCACTGCCTACACTTGATTCGCCGAGAACTGGTCCAGATTAGCCGTCCACAATCGGTTCTTATTGGCATCCGTCGCTTTCCCGTTGCGCCCACTTGCATGATTGTCTATATCCACTCAGTCCTCGCCCTCATTCACTATGGATAGGAAAGCCGTGACATCAGCTAAGGATTCTGCCTGACCGGCCAGGTGGCTGAATGGGTCTTGGCACATGTGTGACCTCGTGCCTTTTCCATAGGCAGGAATGGCAGGTATCAAAGGTAACTATAGTCCAAACCGAGGAACCGAAGACCACAGATAGTTTTGGTGATTATATCTACGAGGCTACCACCCCAGACCTTGACCTTCACCTTTCGGCAACGCTTTTGAACAAATTCCTATTGCTCTCCGAAACACTCATTTCAACGCCTACAAAAATGAAATCAAACGCTCGAAGCTCCCGTGTACAGCATGGGAACGTTTATGGGGGTGATGATGGACAGAGAAAGCAGGAAATTGAACGTGAGTTATTCTGACTCGGTCGTCTTGATTCTTTCTGTACTTACACCATGAACAGCCACGCTGATGTGGATGATCAACTTGGCAACAGTGCTTCAAAACCAGGGAAAATATGAAGAGGCGGAGAAGATTGGCCGGGAGGCCTTGTCAGGCTATGAAGAGGCAATGGGCCTGGATGAACAGGACACGTTGACGTGCATGAGCAACCTGGCGACGGTGATTCAAGTACAAGGAAAGTACGATCAGGCAGAGGAGATGAATCGGCGCGCCCTGGCAGGCTATGAGAAGGCTCTGGGGGCAAATCATCCTCACACCCTGAGAAGTATGAGCAATCTGGCAACGGTGCTTCAAGACCAAGGCAAGCACGTCGAAGCCGAGAGGATGAGCCGGCAAGCCCTGGCAGGATTTGAGGAAGAATTGGGAGCATGTCATCCTGACACGCTGACCTGCGCGAGCAATCTTGCGATGGTGCTTCACGATCAACAAAAGCAAGCAGAAGCAGAGGAGGTGCTGCGCAGAGCGTTGGCAGCGAGAGAGAACGTCCCAAGAGAGGACTATCTCGACGCCCAGTGGAGGGGACGTTGTACGGCACCACAGATGGTTGCCAAGTGCTTTTTGTGAATTGATGCCCTATTTCCACCTCTTCACCAACCACTGATACTTTAGATACTTCATGCCATATTACAAGACGGAGAAAGAGATGGAGCAAGAGCTTCCATTGAATCCAAATCGCCTCAACTAGACACGTAAAATGCCTGCGACCTCCACTGCCGAAAAAGGGCAGCGCCGATCGAAAGACTGGTAGATGCGGACTGAATACCCTGAGGGGCGCTAGTGGTCCAAGAGACCGCAAAACACGCAACAGATAATGCACTCGGTGCAATTACCACCTTGTCTGCGAGTAGTTCCCCCCGATCGTATTCTCCGATGTTGCTGTGAAGTACCTGTCAGATTCCTATCGAGGGCAGATTCTGTAATGATATGACTCTCTTTTCACGGACATTCTCTTTGCTTCCCGTCTTCTGAGGTTCAAAGACCATGCGAGTCGAGGCGGCTAGATCCTGTCGTCCTGATCAGCGCAATCCCGCACGACACAAGCGTACTTCGAGATGTCTTTCACGTACAGCTTCTTCGGAGGCATTTGCTTGTTCTGTAGAGGGCAGGAGGTCACCTTGCCGCGATAAGGACTTTAGGGTTGACGAGAAAGCTTTGGTGGTAGCAGCCATCGTGATTCCTGCAACGGAGTCGTTTCCTTAAAGTAGAAGAGGGGTGTGATATAGAGCTGGTGTGAAGATCTGTCAGGATACAGACACTGAAGGCTTTTCTTTTTATGCTCTACTGCCTACTCGCAACCGTCACGGTGTGCCCCTTTGTCACGACGTAGAGTCGGCCTGCCAGGGAAGAATTTAGGTGTTTCTGCACAGAGCCTGCAGTCCCGTGGGGCCCATTAGTTGTTATTCCACCAAGCGCCCCCTTTTGTGTCTAATGATGTAGGCTCTCGGACTCGTTTGTGAAAGGGGGGAACTCTGGAGCGGGAAAGGCTGACACTTAGTCACTCATAAGATTCCATTGGCCTATTCAATTCCTCGACACACCATCTTTGACCTATTCTTCAGTCTCAATATCAACGGATCGATTCTTCCAGAGGTGTTACCGCATGACAGGCCCATCCTTCCTCCCCTGTCGCCAGTGGGGAGATGAAGGATCTTTCTCGCACTGAATTACACTCTTCGCTAGCCAATGATTTGCCGCGATCATAATCGAACTTTGTTCTGTATCACTCTCGTTGAATTGGACTACATGTACTTTGGCGGAGGATCATCCCAGACTGTTTTCCACGTGGCCTCGTCAGGCTGAAAATTATCAGGCTCGGAGACTTCGAAAGGCCCATCTCCTAGTTCACTGGACTGAGCCTGGCTTGAAGGAGTCGGAGCCGACACGATCTGAATTGGCACTTCCAGAACAAATTTTCCAACGCTAATCCCAGTGGCTTTCAGCAGGATGACGAGGCTATATTGCCTCGCTGCGATAGCGCTGCAAAAAGTCGGTGTGACGTCGTTGGATACCTTGACGGGGAAGGAGATATTGCTCTGCCACACTGCTACTGGCGTTGGACTGGTCTTTGCGGAGTGGGTTTTGTGTCCGACTGTTGACCCAAGGGTGCATTTTTCGTCACTTAATGGCACAGCATTAGACTCTATAAGGCGCCAAGAGGTCAAGGTTCGGTTGACCTGCTCCAACTTCAAGACCTGGTCATGAAGTCGATGCGGGTCGTTCGCCGTCAGAATAGATTGCGCAGGGAGCTTCGGGAATGGTCGAGTAGAATAAAACGTTTTTGCTCGCAGCCCCGGAATGATTCTGAACCCGATTCTCTGCAGAAGCGTAGCGAGCCCCTGAGGATCAACGTTGCTTATGGATGCCGTGACACTGAACCGAATTGTTACTTCGGTGGTCCCGAATGGATGATCATCAACCATCATTACCGGGGCAGGCTCCTGGGTTCCAACAACCATCGTGTATTTTTGGAAACTGAAGGTTGATGCTCGAAACGGATGGCTTTGCTTGACGATAAAATCATTGAGCCAGTCTCCAGTGTCGCATGGAGGGAATACTTCGGGGGCGGGACGGATGGGTATCTCTAGTTGTTGGCACAATTTGATCGTCCCTTCCAGCGCTTGCGAGTCCGTGAGAGCAGCCACAACTTTCAGATTGTATTCGATTTGTGGTTGAGCGTAGGAAGTGGTGCCCGCATCATCCGTCAAGGTAGGTCCGTGACGAAAGGTTGGTGGAAGGGAAAGACATTGCCTCGGGGCACTACCGCTTCGTGGTGTCGCCCATTTGGAAATGATGAAACGAAACGGAGAGGAATAAACATAAACTTCCGCGCGTGTGTCGTTTGATATTTCAAAGTCATTCAGGTCAAGTGATTGAGTCAGAAACTGGAAGACCATCATTAACTCCACCCATATTCACTGGTCCCTGACATACTTTATATGTTGACTTCCGGGTTATAATTTTTCTTTGATCATCCTTCCCGACGCTTTGAGTATGAACTCGGGATTCCCCTGCGGTAGTTCGACGTGTTAATCAGGGCTTCCTGCATACAGCTCCTTAAGTACGTGCCTTCAAAAGTAATCTGAATATGTTCTATAGTAAGTGGTACCCTACTCGTGAGCTTCACCACCCCACTGAGCTCCTGAAGTGGGCTCCAAACGTCAATATTTGATGTCTTTTCAGGGATATCAGCGTGAGCGGAGGCCGGACTGTTCACTATAATGACAATCCTGGGTGCCGAGTCCGGGCCCGGTAGGTTAGGTAGATCTTGAATTTCCGTGTTATTCATATGAAAACAAAACGACCAGAGATGAGGACTGCTGTACATTCAACGAGTATGTTTTTCTTGGAGAGGGGATGATAACTGAGTTCGTATGAGACAGGATAACATAATAATATTTCATGTTGTTAATAGCGTCCTAAAAGGATACCGTCCCCAGCCTAGGGTGTTTCAGATAGACCCATGGTCAAAAATAGGGAACCATTTACCCACTCGACCGAAACCAGCCGCGAGTCGAGAAGGCAATGGGTCAAGAGACACTGTCTTGTGATACTGAGGCGTTGACCGGTGAATCTGTGGCACCGCCCAACTGGCTCGGACTGCCATTGCCGCGTCATACGAGACAAGGAACTTTTGGCAAATGGCCTACAGCGACAGGCATCCTGCTTAGGAAGGGAGAGAAACTGGACCAGTGGCAAATAAGATGTTAACAATGACAAAGTGTTGCTGAGGTTTGGTGCGGCAATTCCGGGGCATCGATGTGGTTGTCGTTCAATGCCCTCTACCTCGAAAGGCGTCTTCACAATAGCTCTTCGCTGGACGTAACGGGTTGGATTGCTTTGTCAGTGCTTGTGGTTTATTGGTTCTCACTCCCCCCGTCCCCAGCCAGGAAATTTCACCAGCGCTATCGCTCGTGGACTAAAGCGCCAAGAAGGGTTACTTGAAGCTTGGCGGAATACCCAGTACCCCGCGTAACCCACTCGCCCACTACCTTGTTTAGCGTCGAGTCGTGTCAGCGTGTCCAGGACCTCGGCAGGACTTGACAAGAATTTGACCGTTTTATTGCTCCCTTGCATCTTCAACGCCAAGGACAACGGTGGACATTCCTGAACCCCGGCACGCAAGAGACGGATCACCAACGGGGGCCGACCTGAACCTTGCCACCTCTGTTGGGCGCTCCTCCGATCGATATCCCATTCTTCTTCCGAAACCCGTGGGGTTGAATTTCCATAAGGAGAGGCTCAATACTTCCCGACCACGCGGCTGGCGGATTGGCTGCGGAAATAAGCAATACGAAAAGCCGCAAAGATCGAGTATTTCGTAGACGAGGATTTGTGCCAAGTGGCAAAATCGTGATATTAGGAGGTACGGAGAGAATATAACCCAACCCGGAAGAGACAGAAGCTGCATATCTGTCCACGAGGTATTTCCACCCACAGAAGAGACCCTTCAGGGTGCGAGAGAATGTGCAGGAGAATCCAAGGTGATGCTGAAGATAGGCTTGAGGATGAAAGGGGTGTTAAGGATTGCGGGGAAGACGATATTAAACTCCAGTGCGTCTCCATCAACATAGAACAACTTCCGAGATACAATATGCTTTCTTTTCTTGTCTCAAGAAATATCTCGATTCTTCTCCGTCAAGATCTGGTCACGATAACCCGGAATTGATGATGAGCACCTTGGCTAGCCAGAGGGCTTCGTTAGAGCTGCCTCCCTCAAGACCGGGCATCCAGATTTCGCCAAAACAGGTGGCCTGCATGTCTTCCACAGACTGATTGAATGGCTGATATCGACAAAGATGAGATGGAGTGTGCCAATTCGTCCAGTATCAGGGACCTACGCAACGCAGTAGGTACAAAGGAATTGGAGTAGCTGAATGCCTTGTTCTATTCACGTAGTCCTATTGACAACGACTCAACGCTTAAGAAAAAGGAAGAGTTCTCTCTCAGCCGGTTCGGGTGAGAGAAGACTCTTATAGCTTCCCCTCTTTCTGTCACGTGAAAAGGGTAAGGTAGCGTTAACCGATAGCCTTGTGCTTCAACCATCCTTTGCCTTATCCTTTCCTTTGCCTTATCCTTTTCTTTCTATACCGTCCACCCGATTCGGGCGGAGGGCGTAGAGTACTTGGGGACAACGGTGGGCTCGTGACACCTGCCCAATACAACGCCGTCTCCAAATGCTATTATTACTGTGACGACACTCGTTTCAGGTCCTTCTCGACACGACCTCCCACCAAATGTTAGCAATCAACTTCCGACCGGACGAGGTTCGCAGGTGGAACAATCCTCGCCCTCAGGACTTCTACAGCTACGGGAACATATCCAAGAATGGCTGGTTCCGGCTGCTCGTCGTTGCGCCCTCCCTCGACCCGGACGAAAAAATCTGCTGCGCCCTTCTCCCAGAACGGCTTACCTAGAATGTGAATTACGACGCCCTCTCATATACATGGGGCGACGAGAAGGTAGAATATCCCATCCTCATCAATTACAGGGTTTTTCGCGTCCGCAGGAACTATTCTGTGCCCCCAGAGCGCTCCGTAGCGCACATGAGTCGCGAATACTGTGGATCGACGCCATTTGTATTTATTCCTATCGATCCAGAACTAAATGCCGCAAAAACCTAAGGTTTAGACCTCGGTTTTGCGAGGAGGTTAATTTACGATCAGGAGCCTGATTGCGATCCTATACTAGCACACCTGAGCAAAGCACAGAATTACGATAGGGCCTAATCCGGCCCTTTAGCGATCGGTTAAGCGTACCCCTCAGCATTCATTTGATTCAGAAAGCCTCTGTGAATTTGGCTAACCCTTACCCCTATGCTGCTGCCTAATTTTCCTTGGTCGTCGTACGTACAATACGGTTGTACCCTTGACAAAGGCCATCAGTGTGGGCTAAGGCTGCCTATAGAAGGCCCGCCTTTTCCCGAAGCTTTCAACACCTAGTGTGTTTCCATCAGAATCAACTAAAAGATCGTGCTCAACCGCCAGCCGTTTACGGCAGACAGTTACTCTCGATGTGTCAATTAGGGATATCCTTTGAAACTGTGATTCCCATCCTTAGCAATTTCACCATACATAATTCCGTCCACGTAAGCTTCTCCCGCAAAATGAAAGTTCCTGTTTCTCATGGGGCGTAGGATATAAGGCATCTTCGCACCAACCAAGATCCATAC